GCAAACAGCCCCCGGCCCCATAAAAATTGCAAACTGCCCCCATCACACGAACACTGCAAACTACCCCCAGTCACACCAACACTGCAAACTGCCCACATCCCACAAACACTGCGAACTACCCCTGTCACACAAACACAGCAAACTGCCCCCGGTCACACAAACACTGCAAACAGCCCCAATCACACAAACACTGCAGACTGCCCCCGGTCCCACAAACACTGCAAACTGCCCCAATCACACAAACACTGAAAACTGCCCCCGGTCACACAAACACTGCAAACTGCCCCCGATCACACAAACACTGCAAACTACCCCCCGATCACACAAACACTGCAAACTGCCCCCGGTCACACAAACACTGCAAACAGCCCCTGGTCACACAAGCACTGCAAACTGCCCCCCCGATCCCAAAAATAACTACAAACGGCCCCTGATCCCACAAACACTGCAAACAGTCCCCGGTCGCACAAACACTGCAAACTGTCCCTGGTCACACTAGCACTGCAAACTGCACCCCCCACCCATCACACAAACACTGCAAACTGTGCCCGATCACATAAACACTACAAACCGGCCCCAGCCCCACAAAAACTGCAAACAACCCCCGACCACACAAACACTGCAAACTACGCCCGGTCCCACAAACACTGCAAACTATCCCCGGTCCCACAAACAGTGCAAACTGCCCCCAATCACACAAACACTGCAAACTACCCCCAGTCACACAAACACTGCAAACTGCCCCCGGTCACACAAACACTGCAAAGTGGCCCCCGATCACACAAACACTGCAAACTGCACCACCACCCCCATCACACAAACACTGCAAACTGCCCCCAGTGCCAGGAACCCTGCTAACTGGCCCCCGTCACACAAACACTGCGGACTGCCCCTGATCCCACAAGCACTGCAAACTGTCCCTGGTCCCACAAGCACTGCAGACTGCACCCCCCACCCATCACACAAACACTGCAAACTGTGCCCGGTCCCACAAACATTGCAAACTTCCCCCAATGCCAGACACTCTGGAAACTGCCCCAGGTCATGCAAACACTACAAACTGCCCCTGGTCACACAAACGCTACAAACTGTCCCTAGTCCCACAAGCACTGCAAACTGCCCCCAGTGCCAGAAAGCCTGCAAACTGGCCCCAGTCACACAAATACGCAAACTGTCCCTGGTCACACAAACACTGTAATCTACCTTGATCGCAGTGAATTTGTGAGTTGCCTCTAATCACAGACACAGAATTAACTATCCCTGTTCATTATCCTAAACGCTGGTTATAGTGACACCATTAACTGGCACCATGCTGATCCCATTAGTGGGAAGCTAGGGCCATAGATTGTCATTTTGTACACAAACATCACCTGGCGTGGATCAGAAGCCAAACTCTGGTGAGTCTCCTCCACATTTATTTCAGAGGAAGACTCTGCATGATTCACTGACCTTTGATTTATCTTACCCCTCCTCTCAGCGAGTTGATCTTTCTGATCATGCTTTTTTCTTCTGAAGTCCCTCCAAACTGTGAGCCTCCAGAGGTCATAACTGTCAGTGACTGTCATCCAGTTTATACCAGACTTCCAAGGTGTAAAGCAACAAATGGGGTGATGGACTGCAAAGGAGGAAGAGCACCAAAAACAGAAATTGCTGGATTGACAGCATCATAAGTACTGAAGAAGGGTCACTGGACCCAAAACATTGAATCTGCTTCCTCTCCACAGAGGCTGCCAGACCCGTTCAGTTTCTCAAGCAATTTCTGCTTTTGTTTCAGATTTCCAGCATTCGTAATTCTTGGTTTTCAGCCTTTCAATAAAGATTGCATGAAGACTGTCTATTGGATAATTTAGTACTGAATAGTTATATTTCATCAAGATTTACATTTTATGTGTGTTATCAGATTTCAAAGTGCCTCAAATATCGTGAATTACTTGAGGTGCTGTGAATGTGTTATACACAAAAATGCAACCAGTTAGCTGTGGCCTTACCAATCTGGAGAATACACATTATAAAGATGGCTTTATGTTCATAGGTGTTGGTCAGTTTTTTTTTAAAGAAGGCATCTGTTGTTTACTTATGTCTGTTCTTGCCAATTTAAATACTATGATATTTAAAATTAATGATTTCCTTGTGTATTGTGGATTTAAATCTAAATGTGTGGTGATGATTATCAAGCACCCTGTTGAATTCTTCTAATTCTGCTTCTGTGTGAGTCTAAACACCCAGCTGGTTAGCACAAATACATAAAGTAATGTCGTGATGAAACTGCATAACTTAATAAAGTAGTTAGTAAGAATGAGAAAGGAATCCATCAAAACCAAAATGTAGCTTTCAAGTGTCAAAAAGCAGCCTTCCAGAAAATCTCAACCAGAACCCTCCAAAAAAGAGAGTCCTGGTTTTCAATTCATTATACTAATGTCTTTGGGTAAATGACCATCATCTATTTGATTTATGTAACTGAGTCATACAGAAATCTTTAGGTTAGGAATAAATGTATGCAGATGGAATTAAAATGTTCCAAAACCTCCAAGCTGACAAATTTGTCTGCCAAGAGACATCAAAGGTACATCTGAGACAGCAAAGGTGCAAACTATTCAGCTTTTTCTTTTGCCAACTATATCCTTTCCACATCTCAAAATTGTAGAGGAGTGCTCTGAGGGCACAGCATTGGTAGTCCTACAGTTTGCCTTTCTCATTTGGCATGCTGTTATTCTACTGCCTCTCAATCGGTT